GCAGTAACACCGTTTTCATTATTTGTCTAAGTACCTCTGCAAAAACATCTTCCCTAATATCACCAGTTTAATTTATTGACACAATTTAAACAGCAAGCACCTGATGATATAAAAATGTTGACAGTGTTTGAAAATGTATTGGTTAAATGTTAATTTATTGAATTGGGTCTAAAGGCAAACAGTAAAAGATTTTTCATCCTAACTTATAGCAATGCAGTGTCACTGTTAGACTAGACGTTGTGCATTTAATGAAAAAAAAAAAAAGATCAATTTATTCTGGGCAACGACTTGACCTGTTCTTGAGGTCAAAGGAGTTGCCCCCTGAAAACTTGACTTGAATTTGATTTTCCTCACATAAAACCTCACAAACGTCACATGGGTTTGGGAAAATGACTTGGTAACGTCTCTGTTGTAGATGCATGTGCAAACAAATGCTAATTATACTCAAACAATTCTATATCAAAGTTCACCTGAATGCTCACTTTAGAGAATGTGTATACATGTAAGTGTAGTGGCATGTGTTGTGCATGATTGGCTCCTTCTGTCAGACAGTTTGGCAGTGCATTGACTTTAATATGCATTTTATTATGCAAAGGTGTGTCTGTGTGTATGCATGAGTCGGCAGGAATGTGTGTTTGGAATCAATTGATTTGCCTTTGAGCGGGGATCGTGTTCTGTACAGCAGGTGGCATCAGTGACCTTAACACAAGATGATTATCATCATGGTTATACACATCTTTGGGGAAACAACACATGGCTGCCAAAAACTGCAATAGAATCAAAGAAACCAATGCTCATGTTGGATGTAAAGTTAAACTTTTGTGTATTGGACCAAATTCCAACCAGTAGAAAAATATCCTGGCTGACGTGTTAAAATATTGCAGCGTAATCCCATTTAAACTTGATCACATATGACTCTCGAATGCTGCGGTAAAGTGTATGCAGCTCTCTTTGGCTGCCATCATTTCTTCAGTTTTCAATTGCTTTTCTCTCTCTAAGGTTTATCTCACTTGAATCTTTCATCAGGACAAAATTTATCTAAATATAAAGACAGCACGAGTTGGCTCATCTGCTTTTCCTCTCTAAAGGACATAAACTGTTTATCTGTTATGGCTGTGTGAGATCAACATAAATAAGAAGAATGATGTGTAAAAAATGGTTTTGTTTGTTTTTATTTGCATTTTGGTGGGAAATAAAAGTCCTCTGATGCTCCTCATAGTGCTTGGTCCATTACCAAGAGATCAATAGCACTTGAGTTGAATGTCATTATGGTTATTAGGGCTGCTTGTCTGCATGGTCATGAGAAATGAGGGCATTATGCAGGGGAGCGTTCTTATGTGTGAGTGAGTACATGAGTGTAATCATAAGTATCTGCCTGTGTTTCCACTGTTGCTCCCATGTTTATTATGCATGAGTGGTGTACGTGCAGACTGCTGATGATCAGGGATATACTACTGGAGAATGGTAAAGTTTTAACACAATCAATATGGAGTCAGTATAGCTGTAATGTGAGAAGGACTGATGGTAGGGGAAGAAGGACAAGCTTAAATATAGATATGGTTAAATCCTATAGAATGGAGATGTTGGATTTATTTAAACTTTTTACTGAAGTGTGTTAAGATTTTGAGGACTACCCTGTAACTACCTGCTGTGTCAGCCAGTCCAATTATTATCCATCATGGTGATGTGACTGTCTTCCAGGTATGCCAAGAAAATTCAATAACAGGGAAAAACTCACCTTTGCTAAGTTGTGAGTATTTAATGTAAAAAGATGGGAAACATTATAGGGATGACAGGGACCCATGCTGTTGGCTGTATCAGTAATTATATAGGAAAGTACTGCCCCCCTTTGTTAAATCATAAAGTAACCATGATTAACCATTTTTTTTAAATAAATTTTACTAGGCCTGAGTAGTGGCCATGCAGTTATTTATGCCACTGAACTGTTAGGAAGATATGCAATAGCGTGACAGAAAAATACAAATTATCTGCACTATATCCAAATAACTTAAATGTGTTATAGAAACTATGAGTTAGACCCTAGCTACTCTAAGCTAGCTGGTTATGCAATGTTGGTGAAGAATTGTTCAGTATTTGTTTGCCTTTTACTGTACGGTAAATGGACAGGAAAAATGCAGAAGACAGAAGGGGAAGATATGCAGCCAGGGCCTGAGAACGGGTCATTGAGGATCACAGCACATTGATGACTGCAGCCTTTTGGACATGGTGCATACACACTACCAACTGAGCCAGCCAGCGCCCAATAACTAGTTAATAATTAATACTTGAAAAGTTTTGTCTGGTGTCTCAGACTTTATGTTCACATTATATAAGATGGTTGACAAAAGAGAAAGCTAGAAAAGCGGGTGGAAACTAGGACATCCATAGAACCATATGAGTGGGAGGAAAGCAAGGAAATGGGACAGAGGATAAGACAGCCACTGACTCAGAGTGAAAGGAGGAAGAAGAGGGTGTGAATTTTGATATAATAAAAGAAAAACAATAAGAATTTTAAAAAACGACACAGCTGAAAGCGTGACTGGATATTGTCTAGGTATGGAAATTAAGATTTTATTTAACATGTTTTTTTTTCATTATTATTGAAAACTTGATACTCCTAAAGAGAATTCTGATTCAATCCTTGCACTAGAATCATAGCAAGAGTGATTCACACACACCATTTTAATGCTGTGTGTGAAAGTGGACTGAGGTATTCTGAACGCCGATCTTTCCTTTATTGTAAAAGTTCTGAAGAACATCTTCACTTACTTAGATGGAGCACTTGATTTAATACTTTTCTCAAGTTTCACTTCTCATACTTGTCACATAGAGCCATGGGGCACCGGCATCATCATCAAAGCTGGCATCAAAGTAAAACCGTTTTTTTTTTTTTTTTTTGCTCAGATGCAAATAGCTTTTTATGTAAATAAAGTCACACAGGCTCGCTCAGAGTAACTTGACAAGAGAGGGAGATCAAAGGAAATTGGCATTTCTTGGCACTAATGTGCGTACATGTGCTCACATTATTTCAGAAAATGTGGAGGGGTAACCATGGAAGGTAACTGAGATGAGCAGAGCAAGAAACGGAGAGATGGTATGGGATGGCAGGATGCAAGAATAGAGAGGGAGAGTTTGGGTGGCTGAGAGAGAGTGAAAGACGGCAGAAGGCAGAGAGAACAAACAGTGTCAGGTTAATGTTAATAGGGCCAAGGATCTTGTCCTATTAAATATAGATGACTCTGTTATGGGACATGAAATATACATGAAACACTGCGTTGACATCTATATCCTCTGTGTTAAGAGCGATGTCTGAGTAGACCAATAGGAGGAAGAGTACTTCAGTTGGGAAAAAAGAGGTATTGTGGAGAGAAACAAAGGAAGGAGGTACAGAAACACAAAGAAAGACTGTGTGGGGAAAAAAAAAGATATCTAAACAAGACAAGGAACATGACAGTATTTGATCTGAGGCCAGTTGGGGCATCTTTTTTCCCCTCTTTTCTCCATCCACAGTTTTCTTTCCTGATATGGGGATCAATATTTTATTGTTGTTTCTTGTTGTGCTGCTGATCGGCTCCGCTTGAGTCTTAATCTGAGGTCTTCACTCCTCGCGGTCACGACAAGTCTCTTGAGACTTATCAACAGAGCAGGGCTGCTAACCCCTGATGTCCCAGCTGAAGCTCCTATTAGACTCACATAAATCCCTTAACCCTAGAGGTCATGGTACCTACAAGTTTTCTGACAAACTGCTGTTGACTTCAGTAGCAAGGCAGTTGACATGAGGATAAGAGTATAATAGCGATTTTCAGTAATTCTTTTATTTCTGGTAAGGCTCTCTGTATAGAATAGAATGTGAACTCTTTACCTCACTTCAAACAGAGAGGGGGAAAAGCCCAGTGCTATTAATAGACTTCAAAATTCCTTTAAAACTCCAGTTTTTCCACATTCTCTTTCTGTGCTACAATAAATCTGATGCTAAGTAAGGCTTTTAGCGGGACACTGAAGCCAAACAGTGATTGAATACAGATATATTTCTTGTACCAATATTTTTCCTTCACCGTTTTTAGATTGGTTAAAAAATATTGCCAGGAAAGGAATTTTTTTTTATTTTCTCAGTTTCTAAGAGTACTGGTAAAAGGAAAACAGTTGCTCATTGAGAAATATAGATGTTTCCCTTATGACTGTATCTGCTCATTAGCCTGCAGCCAGCATGCACAGAGTGGCATTGCTGGCTCTATACTGGCATGCTTGTTTTTAAAGTTCTGGGTCACTATGACCTTTTACCAACTTAGATCACACACCTAATCTTTGCATTTCAGTCTACTTCCACATTGTACCCACTAACAATTATTATTTTTTTCTTTCCTTATCCATGTAGTCATTGTTTTCCACCTATCCACGATAGACTTGGAGAGACAATGCTACAATGGATCAAGATTACTCTGCTCCTTCTGGGAGACCATGAGGTCTACCCAGGCTAGAAATAATATATAGTCTTTCCAGTGTATTGTGGGTTTGCCCCTGAGTCTCTTCACAGTGTAATGTACTTGAACAACTTCCAAAGGAAGGCATCCATGAAGCTTTCTCACTAGATGCCAGAAGCACATCAATTGACTCCTTTCAAAGTGGAAAAGCAACAGCTCTACTCTGGCCACCTGGCAGAGGATCCTCAGTTTAGTTACTTGGACCTGGAATCTCGTTCTTTCAGTCACAAGTCATATTTTTGGAGCGTATGTGAAGGTCATAAATCATCAATCAGAAGTATGCTGTAATTTGTATGTGTGTTTTTTTTTCCCCCAACGACTTCATATTACACCTTATTTGCTTTGGTGACTTAATGTTGTGAAACATTCCCCTAGTGGGGTTGAGTTCATAAAAGATAAATGGTCAATGTTAGGTACAAAATAATACAAAATTATAAAGGGACGAAATTGCCATAGCTTATTTCTTATTACTTCTGCCGTTGCTCAAACTTTTTTTGTTGTCACTTGTTTGGTTTTCAGTTGCAAGGAACCAGTACGAGCGGAGGGGCAGCGATGTCACCATGCAGTGCGGCTCCCTGGAAAGTGACGCGTCGGTGTCATGGAAGGTGAACGGGACAGACATCGAGGCCCAGCACCAGCTGAATGGACCCAAACTGATTCTGACCCAAGTTGACCTTGACCACAATGGACTCTACAGCTGCTTTCAGAACCCGCATGGAGAAAGACGTGACACCATCTTCCTCCACATTGGAAGTAAGTAACCGAGTATTATTCTCCAAAATGAGATTTCTACAGTTCTTCTGCAAGCAAAGATAATAAATGTAATACATTTAGTCTTTATTTGTGTTTTTATTTAAGAACGATATCTGTTACAAGTGACATTTTGTTTTAGCATTTTTGTTGTTTTCTCCGTAACACTCTTTAGCTAAGTGACAATCTTTATAATACATTTTAACGTTTGAATACTCTTTCATATTTGTTATGTTGGTATTAACCAGGAATTGTCATGGCATTCCTTAGTGTTGTGCCTTACACTAGATGACAAGTTCTAATGATTAGTTGTTAAAATGACATTTGGTCTTTTTGCCGTTATGACTGGCTATTTTAGTAGTCATACAAAAGATGTTTAAGTGTCAATTTAACAGCATTTTTTGAATGGCCTGTGTGATGGCAGCAGCCTCCTTTGAGATCCATTATTTTGATGGGGATGGTTTTATACGCTCAGTCTCTGCATAGTAATGCTGTTGAGGTGGGATTGACTTGTGAATGATAGGACCCCCCTGAGGATGGTTGGACTGAAAATGTCTTTGTCATATATAGAAGCTTCATTGTGGGGGGAAAAAAAAATAATAAAAAAATAAGGAAATCAGAAATGGTTGAATTCCATTGTGTACATTGCATAATGGAAACTGAATACTGTCATTATGTTAAACACATGGATTACAGTGTATGTAATCCTATCAGTTTGGAAGATTTCGTAGGATATGTCTAACTGATAGGACTATCCATTCATCCATCCATCCATTTTCTTTACACCCTTGTCCCTTAGTGGGGTCAGGAGGGGTGCTGGTGCCCATCTCCAGCTAACGTTCCGGGTGAGAGGCGGTATGTTGCAAGGCAACACAGAAACAAACAAACATGCATACACTCACACCTAGGGGCAATTTGGAGAGGCCAATTAACCTGACATGTTTTTGGACTGTGGGAGGAAACTGGAGTACCTGGAGAAAACACACGCATGCACAGGGGGAACATGCAAACTCCATGCAGAAAGACCGGGGCCGGGAATCGAACCCAGAACCTTCTTGCTGCAAGGCAACAGCTCTACCAACTGCACCACTGTGCAGCCTATGACAGGACTATATATAATACAATAAAAAATAGGACAATAACAGACTGACAAGAACATTGTCTATAAGTAGTCCAAATTTAATATGGCATAAATAACGTGAATTCATGGATCCTATATATCCTACAACAATAGTTCAGCCAGGTGGTAATGAACTTTTATTTGGAACCCTTTGGGCTCCTTAGTGCATTGTTAGTGCATGTAAATAAAATAATGTACATAAGTGGTCTCCTCAGTCACTACAACTGGATCCAAAAGAAAATTTTTAAGATGTGACAAAACAGGACTTTTGTGACTTTGATCCAAAAAAACAAAACCTGCACCAACAGCATGATGCAAGGATTTCAATGTAAATCCTTGCATCCTTTTGGCCATTTTTGAAGCCAAAAGGATGTCCAACAGGAACTGGCAAGGTGTACCTAATAAAGGGATGAGTGAGTGTACTACAGCTTGTAAGTAAACCAATAGTTGAGTGATTTTTCTTTTGCTTCATACTGTGATCGAGAAACTTCCATCTTGTTAGTTATTCGTCACTAAATAAAAGGATTAGCAATAGTAATATAAAAATATACTAATTAAATTATTTGCAACAGTTTTCTGGCTGAATAGTTTCCACATTTAAAAATAATATTAATCCCATGACTTGAAAAGCAAAAGCTAGTGTTGATTATAAAGTGCATCTTTTCTCCCTATACTTATTAGTTATGCTACTGTTGCTGACTTTAAAATAAGAACACTAAGTGAAAAGGCATTTATTCCCATGTTGTTTTTATTTCTGTTATCTTGAACAGTTCTACAAATCACATTTGAGCTGATGATGAAGACTGATTTTTTTTGTTTCTTCTTTTGAGAAGCCACTTTAGTTATGATGTTTTCCTAGTCACTGCAAAGGGGCTTTGGAAATGAACGACTGCCACCTAAACCTATTTGTGCTAAAGTAATTAAAGTATAAACAAACAGAAGTAAATTAAGCTAAAGCAACACAAGTATGAAATTATTTTTGAAAAACGGGGTCAGTTATAATCTCACTTCATTTCATTAGTAAATCCTGCCTGTGTGATTGCATCTGCTTGTCAACAGAGTCGATAGTAAGCCAAGCCCCCCCCCCCCCCCCATCAAAATTGCACTGCCGTATTGCTGTTAAATGTAACATTTCCATGCAAATGTTTGATGAATGAGACTATATGGGAGCGTGACAGTTTGGTTAATCATATTGGCAATGATGAATTACCAAATGCTAAAACAATACTGAATTAATGAGACTTTTATGTTATGGTAGATTGTGTCAGCAGGGTGAATGATGCAATACATAAACAGTCCAGAAAATTTGTGGATGGAGATGGAGAAAAAGGACTGAAATGCAGATGTGTACTACATGTCTCTGTGCAGCCCAGTGCATGAGTGTGTTTCCCTTCGCCAGGCGTTGTGTTTCTGCATCATAATGACACTTTGGTGGTCTCAAACTATGCATGCAAGAGAAAAACAGACTTTCATTGTGTAACCATTCATCAGGGGTCAATTATGACTCTGTGAGAACAATACCTTTGTGGTCTAGCCTGGCATTGGGTTTAATTGCCTTGTTAAGAGTTGCTGATTTTATGACATGTTCAAGACACACACTGGAGCAACATTAATCCTGTTACTGTATACTGGAGAAACTCTTATCAGTCTGTTTGTTCTTCATCTGATCTCCAAATTCATCTCTGTAGGGTGTCTGCATTTCCATTACATTGAGTGTCACCTCCAGAGGTTGAATGTGACACGCAGTCATGGCAGGCTGCAGTTCTTGTGATTACCATCATGATAGTTTGATTTTATGCAGTGTTTATAACTCACACCAGGGGCTTGTTATGTTTCTGAAAGATAGCAGTGTGATCTGGAGAATACCACAAAGCCATCTGTCTAGTTTTATTTTTTAATTCATTTTTTTGGTTTATCTCAACAATGTTTTTTTTTTTTTTTCTTCATTCCTTTGAAATCCTGAGATAAAATCTTATTTCAGACAAAGGATCGATACCGCAAGTGCTGTCTGCCTTCACTTTTCCTGTTCTCTGACTTCAGTTCGTGGCCACATTTGTTAGTTTTTTGTTTACACTGGTTCACATTAACAACAGACGACGTCATCGGCTAACTCTCTGTGTGTGCCTGCTGAATTTATGAACCGTGTCAACAAAATGTCAGCGCAAGGAGACAGCAATTGTGTGTTGTGGAAAATTCTCGTGCCGATGCAATGTCTCCTTCCCTTCCTCTTTGCATTATTTCAACACTTTGTAAAAGCGTGGGATGCTTACATTTTCTCTGACACTTTAGATACAAACAAAGCTTGAGTGGCTTCAAAAAAGTACACGGCAGTGAGCATGAATGTCAGATGGCGTAGCAGCGTGGATGTGAATAGATACACTACCCTACATGGGCCACAAGGTGTGTGGTAATCAGTGGGGTCTTTAGAGAGTGTTGATTTTTGATGACACATTTGGTTAAACATACGGAGCACTTTGAAAGGAGGCAGAATTAATGTAAGTAAAAAAATTGTCAGGCAGTTGAGTCCTAAACAAGTTGTCTGTCGCTTGTTGTTTAGTGTGTCAAGCGGGAATAATCAGTACAGGGGGCACTGAATTAAAATATGAGTGTTTATCATGAGGAGCAAATGAAGCTGAAGTTAGTATCAGATTCTTAGCTCACAACATGGTGCTAAAATAAAAGGCTACTTGGATGTTTTATAAAAATATCTGGACTGCATTTTAACATAATCTAGTTCAAAATCTAAGATATTCTACTAAATTGTGGGCAGAGGGGGCTGTAGACCCAAATCAGAGGTGGTGATACAGGAAATATGGAGTCAGAGTCAAGCCTGTAATGCATTCCTCAATCCTCGGAAATTATTTAAAAAATAGTTTGAAAATAAAATGAGCTGGGGACATGAGAGGCAACTTGCCCTTGGTGCTGGAACTGGAGCAGCAATGTTTGTGTCCTGATAGTTATTCAAGTCATTTAAGAGTAGGAAGTCCTAGTTCATTAAAAATATTATTTAATATAGAGTATAACAGCAGGTCCGGTTCTATCGGTATAGTTTACATTAGTGTGATTCTGTCCCCGTTAATTTTGCTATGGTGTTTCAGGTGCTGAATTATGATTTCTATGAAAACAGATAAGATATTTTGAACCAACAGCAGTTTCTAAAGGAGTGCCTTTTGTTTTTAAATATAATTCTGACTATGCAAATGCACCTACAATCTTCTCTAACCCTAAGTTCTGCTCCTGGTGTGTATTCTTCCATATTTGTTTTGACTGGCAATTTGACTTGTTTGGGTTACATACAAAGTTGTTTCCCTTCATCATAAACAGTACTTTTCTTAAACTGGCCAAATATTGTCGCAGTGTGTGGCGCAGGTCGCATGACACAGCTAGAAAATTGCTGCAGCCGATACGATTTCTTCCACTGTGAGCTTGTTTGCAAAATGTAAAACCTAGACTCTTAGAATCAACAAATAATGGTCAAGGCCTAAAATACAAGCAGCGAACTTCAGAATAGACAAATTTGTATAAACGTAATGCTGCAAAAATAATGCTGCATAGATCATAGATGTGTGAATGACACACAATTCACTCTGCATCACACAAACATGCTTTGACAGGGATCTTGAGCTGTTACTTAGGACCAGTGACATCCCTGCCTTGAACCACCAAGATGATTGATCTTTGGGTTTTACATACAAGTTTGAGAAAATGTTATTTTCTTCTGAATTTGACTTTGTAAATCTCTGAGAATCCAACAGCCTTGCACAGTAAATTCAACTGCATGGACAAATATATGGTGTTAAAGGAGTCACCTCCTCTGTCATGGAAGCCATCATTTCACAAATCCTGTGATCTGGCATTTAGCGGTGAAATTGTCATAACCCTC